GGTAGGGTAGGGTAGGGTAGGGTAGGGTAGGGGTAGGGCAGGGTAGGGTAGGGAAGTGTAGGGGTAGGGGTAGGGGTAGGGTAGGGTAGGGGTAGGGGTAGGGGTAGGGTAGGTTAGGGTAGTGTATGGGTAGGGTAGGGTAGGGAAGTGTAGGGGTAGGGGTAGGGTAGGGTAGGGGTAGGGGTAGGGGTAGGGGTAGGGTAGGTTAGGGTAGTGTATGGGTAGGGTAGGGTAGAGTAGGGTAGGGTAGGGTAGAGTAGGGTAGAGTAGTAGGGCAGGGTAGGGTAGGGTAGGGTAGAGTAGGGTAGGGTAGGGTAGGTTAGGGGTAGGGTAGGGTAGGGTAGGGGTAGGGTAGGGTAGGGTAGTGTAGGGTAGGTTAGTGTAAGGTAGGGTAGGGTAGGGTAGGGTAGGGTAGGGGTAGGGTTAAGTTCAAAAAGGGCCTAACATACAAAGCACTTGAACACCCCGCACATATCACCAACCCTTACAGTTTAATTAAAAACAGCTACCCAAATCAATCCAAATAATACATCTAAAAATACAAGTCAATCACCCAAACTAATGCACCCGTAACATAACATCAATCAAAACATACAGTTATCGCGTAAACCTGTACCTCTAGTCTACTATTATAAATCTTAAAAAGTCCGCCGCCGTCGGGGTTACGCAGCCGGCGTTACTCCCAAAAACGCCTATTGCGGCGCCGTCGATTGACGCACGAGGGTGAAATTTTCACGGCTCGTGGGTCACGTCATTCAACAGGTCGTATTAAATTTTGGGCACGATGCGGCCGGGGGTGCGCCCGTGGCGCGCGCTCACGTGGTGTGCCATAGGGTTTACACTAGAATCGGCAACAGGCTATTGCTCGCGAACGGTAAGGGCTACGGGGGTGAAATTTTCGCTGTAAGTCGGACGCGTGCACTTATTTGTCGTATTAAATTTTCGAGGGTGTGGGTTCAGCGGTATGCACGTGATGGGGCCGCGACCGGCGCCGAGCAGAGGGCACGTGCTTTAGGCTCAGTTTCTTCGCTTGCAGAACTGAGCGAAATCAGAGCCGGGAGGTCGTTGACCTTTGGCAATGAATACCGACGCCGGGCACCGCTCGCCAAGAGGATTCGCCAGTAAATACAATTAATTTGTGTTTGCAATATCTCAGCCGTTTCTGGGCCGATTTAGCTGAAACTTGGACTGTCGGTGGTAGTGTAAGGTAGGGTAGTGTATGGTAGGGTAGTGTATGGTAGGGTAGTGTATGGTAGGGTAGGGTAGGGTAGGGTAGGGTAGGGTAGGGTAGGGTAGGGTAGGGTAGGGTAGAGAAGGCTAGGGTAGGGTAGGGTAGGGTAGTGTAAGGGTAGGGTAGGGTAGGGTAGGGTAGGATAGGGTAGGGTAGGGTAGGGTAGGGTAGTGTAAGGGTAGGGTAGGGTAGGGTAGGGTAGGGTAGGGTAGGGTAGGGTAGGGTAGGGTAGTGTAAGGGTAGGGTAGGGTAGGGTAGGGTAGGGTAGGGGATTGTAGGGTAGGGTAGGGTAGGGTAGAGTAGGGTAGGGTAGGGTAGAGTAGGGTAGGGTAGGGGTAGGGTAGTGTAGGGGTAGGGGTAGGGTAGGGTAGGGTAAGGTAGGGTAGGGTAGGGTAAGGGATTGTAGGGTAGGGTAGGGTAGGGTAGGGTAGTGTAAGGGTAGGGTAGGGTAGGGTAGGGTAGTGTAAGGGTAGGGTAGGGTAGGGTAGTGTAGGGGTAGGGGTAGGGGTAGGGTAGGGTAGGGTAGGGTAGGGTAGGGTAGGGCTGAATTGACTTACAAAGGGCTCGAACAACTCGCATGCATCACCATCATACTTTACAGTTCAATTAAAAGCAGTTACCCATGGTTCTACACAAATAATACCAATAAAAATGCAAGTTTCTACACCCAAACATGCATCCGTTAATCATGCATATCAAAACATACAGTTATCGCGTAAACCTGTACCTCTAGTCTACTATTATAAATCTTAAAAAGTCCGCCGCCGTCGGGGTTACGCAGCCGGCGTTACTCCCAAAAACGCCTATTGCGGCGCCGTCGATTGACGCACGAGGGTGAAATTTTCACGGCTCGTGGGTCACGTCATTCAACAGGTCGTATTAAATTTTGGGCACGATGCGGCCGGGAGTGCGCCCGTGGCGCGTGCTCATGTGCGCCATGGGGTTAGCATTAGAATCGCGACCGGCGCCGAGCAGAGGGCACGTGCTTTAGGCTCAGTTTCTTCGCTTGCAAACCTGAGCGAAATCAGAGCCGGGAGGTCGTTGACCTTTGGCAATGAATACCGACGCCGGGCACCGCTCGCCAAGGGGATTCGCCAGTAAATACGATAAATTTGTTTTTGCAATATCTCAGCCGTTTCTGGGCCGATTTAGCTGAAACCTGGACTGTCGGTGGTAGTGTAGGGTAGGGTAGGGTAGTGTAGGGGTAGGGTAGGGTAGGGTAGTGTAGGGGTAGGGTAGGGTAGGGTAGGGTAGGGTAGGGTAGGGTAGGGTAGGGTAGTATGGTGTAAGGGTAGGGTAGGGTAGGGTAGTGAAAGGGTTGGGTAGGGTAGGGTAGGGTAGGGTAGGGTAGTGTAGGGGTTGGGTTGGGTAGGGTAGGGTAGGGTAGGGGTAGGGGTAGGGGTACGGTAGGGTAGGGTAGTGTATAGAGATAGGGTAGGGTAGGGTAGTGTAAGGGTGGGGTAGGGTAGGGTAGGGTAGGGTAGGGTAGGGTAGGGTAGGGTAGTGTATAGAGATAGGGTAGGGTAGGGTAGTGTAAGGGTGGGGTAAGGTAGGGTAGGGTAGGGTAGGGGTAAGGTAGGGAAGGGTAGGGTAGGGTAGGGTAGGGTAGTGTAAGGGTAGGGTAGGGTAGGGTAGGGTAGGGTAGGGGTAGGGCAGGGTAGGGTAGGGAAGTGTAGGGGTAGGGGTAGGGGTAGGGTAGGGTAGGGGTAGGGGTAGGGGTAGGGTAGGTTAGGGTAGTGTATGGGTAGGGTAGGGTAGGGAAGTGTAGGGGTAGGGGTAGGGTAGGGTAGGGGTAGGGGTAGGGGTAGGGGTAGGGTAGGTTAGGGTAGTGTATGGGTAGGGTAGGGTAGAGTAGGGTAGGGTAGGGTAGAGTAGGGTAGAGTAGTAGGGCAGGGTAGGGTAGGGTAGGGTAGAGTAGGGTAGGGTAGGGTAGGTTAGGGGTAGGGTAGGGTAGGGTAGGGGTAGGGTAGGGTAGGGTAGTGTAGGGTAGGTTAGTGTAAGGTAGGGTAGGGTAGGGTAGGGTAGGGTAGGGGTAGGGTTAAGTTCAAAAAGGGCCTAACATACAAAGCACTTGAACACCCCGCACATATCACCAACCCTTACAGTTTAATTAAAAACAGCTACCCAAATCAATCCAAATAATACATCTAAAAATACAAGTCAATCACCCAAACTAATGCACCCGTAACATAACATCAATCAAAACATACAGTTATCGCGTAAACCTGTACCTCTAGTAGGGTCTTATAAAGTTTTGATTGCTGCATAACATAGATGCATGCACCCATTTTTACTTATAGCTATCAAATTGTCGTTGTGCTTAATGGTGAACTAACTAATAAATGTTAAACGCTACATGCCAGTTGTTTGCAATCTTTAGGGGATTATTCCCAGCAAATCACATTTATAACTCTCAACTGACAAATACTGAACTAGTTATTAGCTTATGGTTGTTGATAATTGATAGTAAGATGCGCATCGAACACTGGGACCGTTTTATGCCCAGAGTGCACTAATTTGGCATGCCTTTGCGCCAGTCTATTGTCCGTCTATAGTCTACTGTCTATGCTCGACCCAGCCCAGTTTGCTGGTGCAGGAGTATCAGGTGGCGGTGGAGTACACATGTCCTGCATCGACACGTGAGTTGTAGCAATTTTCCTGGCGATACCAGATCATCGTTACGTATCGGCCCGTCTCCGTAAAAACGGTGGCATTGTCTAACGGGAAAAAGGCGTGCCATGTGTGCGTGACGTGTCTTCTGCCAGGCGCCGTCCTGTGTCCACACGCGTCCGGCCTGTGCAGTGTGTGCAGAGCACCAAGAAAAGTGCTCCATTGCAACGCTTCTCTGCAACGAGCGGCCCGAGTTAGGTAGCTGAGCAGATCCATGGATTGATTCTGTTTCGTTCTAGAGAAAATAAATGTACCTATATGTAAATACGTCATAAAACACATTTTCCTAGCATAGTCAATAATAGCCGTTTGACTATGCTTTGTTATGTTTGACTAATAGCGACGGCCACCTGGTGCACATTTGGTTCAGATTAGGTGCAGATTTGGTCAAATTAGACAAGTATTGTCTTTCTTACAAGTTGCCAGTTGGGTTGCACAGATTCTTAAAGACCTCGCTTTTCAAATTATCGGACACTACTTTCGATTAGAACACAAATAGATTTATGATGTGAAGATATTTGCTGTAAAAGATATTTGATGCAGATTTGATCAGATAAGCTGCATTCGCCAGATAGCCCGTCGTGAAAAAGGCTAATGTCACATCAAACGTAAAGCTTTAATAAATTTGTGCTATGGATTCTTTACTCAACAGTTGTGAGAAATAATATGAGAAAGCGCTTGTTTGAGGCTCATGATGATAAGTATAATGATGAAAGAAAACCGAAGCCTCATAATAATGAATGTATTCTAAATTATGACCGAGAAGAAAGAAAGAAGAAGAGAAGAAAGAAGAAGAAAGTTGTGAGAAAAATATATTGGACATTCCTCTTCATGAACAATATGTAGTTACCTATCTTTATGAGATATGCACTCGGAAGCACTTTTTCATTGACCTTTGGACGTAAATGACGGCAGGAGGCTCCCTTCGCGATAGCTTGAATATCACCGTTCATACCTAGGATGTGTTTTTTAGTCATTCGTAGCAGAATTTTTTTTAACTAATTTCATGTGGGCTTTTTGTATGACAATGGCACACAAAAACTTTCATTTGCACATTCACAGAAGCACATCCTCTTGTAGGTATGGTTATAGTTCTTACCTGTGCGCTGTTGAAGCTCGGCATCGTCGATATCAGAGAAAAACCACGTCTGAAATATACGGTGTAAATGGTGAAACATGTCTCTTTTCTTTATTCCTATCCATTACCAAACAACGCTTTATTTGGTTTTCAGTAAAGGACCAAAGTTCCCCTACGCCCATTTAAGTAAGCACAAATCAGCAACTTGCTCAATCAACGAACACCTCAAAGCAAAGTAATCGCCAGGCTGTTGGTTGAAGAAAGTCAATCATGGGTCGCATGTATGTATATTGTAAAGCTCTTTGCACATTGACCACATTTCCTTGCCAGCTGCCTCGGACTCTCACCTGATTGGGTGCGGTGGTGAACCACGTGTCCAGGATCGGCGGCAGCCGGGTGCCGTGAAACTGACCCGACGTCTTCACGGCTATGAACACGTGACGAAGTAAGTCTGGTACGGGTCTCGCCTCCTCGAAGGACCCCTGACCTCCCCGCTGAGAGGTCACCTCCGACTGAACTACCTTTGTTGACGATTGAGCCACCTCATGGGGCACTTCAGAGGCCACCTCACCTATCACTTCATTGCTTAATTCCTGGAAGTCTCTCGACACTGGAGCCACTCTCGGCGCCACCTCTGCACTCGGGGTCACTTCAATACTGTTCTCGCTCTCTGAGTTCAACCCTAAGCCCTCGAGGTCTCGTAGATGACCTAACCCGTCCCCAACAGTCCTATCCAGGGAGCGCGCCCGTCGCACCAAACCGTCTCGCACACTTATCACAGACGAGGGATTCGAGTCTGATGTCACGAGGGGATCGACGTTCTCCCCAATCACCACACCTCCAAGAGTCAGAAATGCGCAGAGAAGGCAAACAGTGAGCATCGTGTGTCTGAGAACGCTCCGGCTACCACAGCTAACGCGGCGTTCCATCGCCACGGTTCTTGTCTTCAGAGTCCACCTCCTAGTCACATGGCACTCGTCACCTCCCGTGCACGCTCCAGCCGGTCCCACCGCCAGCAGCGCTCGCGGCAGACTGACGCCGCCCCCTTCGAGTCCCGACCGTGCTGAGGTGACGGACCAGTCGCAAATCCGGTCCGAGCCGCACAGGTCCTCCGTTAGGTAGGACCATAACTGCCCTCTAGCGACCGATAGCGGTGTGCAGGTTGGCCTGGCCGGACGACCTTCGCGGTGTGGTTAGGTCCTTGGGGTCAATAAACCCTCTAAAGCACGTAAGTACATTTTCCGCTCGCCATTTGTGGTCGCGCTTCACGTTGGTCGTAACGGTACTTATAGCTCAAATACTTAGCTATAGTAGCATTACTAGATCTAATTTTGACGCAATGAACCATACCTACCTACTTAGTGCGCCAAAACACCGTAAAATAGACACAGCTACGTTCCAGACAGCTGCTTCACTATTGATTCTCGAATTCTTTTCTATTGGAGCTACGAAGCATCGGGGTCTGCTCCTTCAAAATGAATTTCAGTGAATGATGTTCGTCTCTTCATACCTTCGGGCAGGCATCATTCGTCCAGTACTAGACCAATTAGAAGTAATTCATCGAACGAGTTTGTTGAAAATGCATCGATAACGTCTTTGCCGAGTTTTTGGTCCTGTGTTGATGCGCTTTTAGCTCGGTTTGCAATTAATTAATTAATTAGGTCAAACAAATGCATAATTGTGGTAGGTTATGACGAAGCTTCACTGCAATCAGCGACAGCTTTTCGAAGCATCATGCCTCATTCCGCAATCCGCATGCAATGTCTGTTCGTCATATACGAGTAATGTCGTTCAGTAAGCACGGACGTCTTTTTCTTGAGAGGGAGGAGGCGTAGGTATTCTATTGATTTTGAAGAGTTGATGTAATTAAAAAACGACTGCAGAGCGCGCAGTTGCAGTTGGTAATTATTCTTAGTCTTAGTCGCAACTTTCGTTTTTAGATTCTCAGTTGCTACTCATTCAACAGTCGACCGTATTGCTGGCGTTGCATGTATTGCTCCTGACTGAAAATGATGCATAAAACACTATGGCAGCGGCGGGAGCCTGTTATATATCACCGAGCACAGGCGTCCGTCGCTGCGTCACGGGACACACCGTTGAAGCACTCTGTCGACCCACAGCTGGCACCGCTGACCCCACGACCCGACCGACGGAGGGGAGAGAGGGAAGGAGGGGAGAGAGGGGGAGGGTCGGTCGGGGAGGGATGACCAACGGTACCGATCGGCACGTGTACATTTGGCCCCAGACTGACAGAAAACTGCGGGCCGAGCAGCGCGCTTCAACGACAGCTGAGCCGCTGGTGACCTTGACCTGGACTGGGTCAAGGACGCCAGCGGTGGCGCTGGTTACGCTAACATAGCTAAAATGTCATTTGACATCCCGTGACCATATATGTACATTGTCAACAAGTGATACGGAGGAAAATTATGCCGCTGATCAGGGTCTGGTCCGTTTCGAGCGTGGTTCGTGTTCCATGTAGACGTGATAAATAAAACAGCATCTTGTCGACGGTAAAGGGTTGCAGTACTATTTTAAGCCTTTAAAACTTGTTAAATGACCTACGTAATAAGGCAAGTTTGATGAGAATTGACTCTGCCATTGTGCTTTTACACTATTTCTTGCATTAAAATCTCGGCTTTGTAGGCAATAGAAAAACCGACGTCTTTTAGGCAAGATTAAACAAATCCTCTTCACTATCTGAGCGTCGTGCGGCTTGCCGCCGCTGTTCGCTCTCCTCCGCCCGCTGCTGCTGTTCCTGCTGCTGCTGCTGATACAGACGCCGTTTCACAGTCTCCTCCTGCCTGAGTCTGCGCTGCTCGCGGGCCGAGGACACGCCATAGCTGCTCTCCCTGTGAGTCGTCTCTGGCGCGGCGCCGCGGCGTGTTCGCCGCAGTCGCAGTCGCGGGTGGCTGCTGTCGTGTATCAGGCCGAGCTCCTGGCCGGTCCAGCGCACCTTGGCCACGATCTGCTCCTGCATCATCTGGATACACATGCTGATCAGCGCCATACCTGCGGACAGAATGGAGTGATCGAGTGAACGTCAACGTCCAGTGAGCCGCGGGAAGCGGCAGTAAGCTCACTTATACCAACCAGGGTTGTGCTTGACTCATGAGTCAAGTCAGAGATTTGACTCAACTCTGACTCAGATGAGTCAGGTTTGAGTCGAGTCGGATAAAATGTTGAGCTGTTGAGTTGAGTCAGAGTTGAGTCAGACAAAAATATTAAGATGTTGAGTTGAGTCAGAGTTGAGTCAGTAAAAAAACTTTTGACATTGAGTTGAGTCAAAAACATTTAGAAACATGAGTTAGCTGACTCATCTTTCTAGAAACAATCTATACAAGCTTTTCATTCTCCCCCCGCTTAACAACTTAGGCCTGGCCCTGCTGCCGGATTTTTTTCACCCCCCCCCCCGTTCAACAACTTTTTTAGCTGAGTCAATTTTGAGTCAACACACTTGACTCAGCAAAAAATTCAGTCAAGTTTGAGTCAACTCATATTTTCATTGAGCCGCTTGAGTCATGAGTCGAGTCAAGGGAAAAAATCAGCTCCTTGTTTGAGTCAGAGTTGAGTCAGGGCTTTCTGAAGTTGAATGATGAGTCGAGTCGGCAAATTTTTTTGAGTCGAGCACAACCCTGATACCAACTGGCACTGTGCAGAAGCTAATTATTTTGTTATGACCCTTCGACATAATGCATGAGGTGTTGCAGTAAATGAAGCTATAGCATGCACCGTTTAATTTAGCTGATGGCATGCTCCATACAGATTTGATGATAAAGCTAGTGGTCACGGCTGTAATGGCTGCACTTACCAATCATGCAGTAGCCGATTGTAGTGCCCATTTTGAACGCCTTAGTAAAGCTGGTCTTGGCCGTCCTATCCAGGAAGCTGAAACAAGACACACATTTACATGCCATTCTTTGCACTTTAATAAAAAAGCACAACTCGCAATTATTACATAGTAGGCATATCTAAATCAAGGGCTCTGGACTAGGTCTAGCGGTCGAACCAGCAAAACTATCAACGACCGATCACTGTCACAAATACAACACAGAGCCCCTGACACGTCCCTCACCTGTTTCCGGGCACCATGTCGCCGAACCCGATGGTGGAGAGGGTGACGAAGCTGAAGTAGTAGGAGGCCATCATGTCCCACTGCTCCCACTCGGAGAAGATGAGCGCACCCATGCCCAGGTACATCGCTATGATCATCAGGTTGATGGTGATGGGCACGTTGACCTCGTCAGTCGGCATGTACTCCTCCTTGCCGACTTCATCCTCGGAGACCCGTTTGGCTCGCTTGCCGGGCTTTCGCTCCTCTTTGTAGCGCGTGGTGCGGCACCAGCGGCAGCAGAGGCGGCTGCGGACGGCGCAGTGGGCCTGTCATACATGCATGCATACATACACAAGGGCAAAACGCTTGCTTAGATAGAGTCGTTAGTAAAAAGACACTCAATCGCAATATCGACAGTCGACGTCTCACTCCCGGGAGTGAGGCCGTCTCACGACGGCCGTTTCCCAGACATGCGCATATTAGCTACGTTAACGGAACCGCGCGTTCGCCGCCCAACGCCTACCCACCTATACGTGAACGTGAAGACCCTGGCCATGCCGTCGCCGATGTTGGCCAGAAAGACGAGCAGCAGCGGCGTGCCGATCATGGCGAACAGGATGGTGAACAGCTGGCCGCCGTTTGTCTTTGGCGAGATGTGGCCGTAGCCTATGGTGGTCATGATGGTGACGGTGAAGAGCAGCGCGTTGGGGAAGTTCCAGCTGTAGGACCAGTCGCCCTTGGTGCCGTCGTAGCCGTGATTGTGCGCCAGGTCCAGGGTGAACGCCTGCAGCAGCTTCAGCTGCTCCCGGACCTGCCAGAAGCGGCGGTGGATAGGTGTACTCGAAAAACGGGCTTGGGAATAGGCAGGATAATTTGTTAAGTTTTTACGGAGCGAGCGAAGCGAGCGTAGTCTTTCCTTAGATTAACGGAAATTTCTGAGTATGAGCGGCGGCCGGCCGGCCGTGGTCACGATTCTGCGACGCTTATATCTCAGCAACCACTTGACCGATTTGCATGCGGTAATTTTTGTAGGGTAGCTTCATTCCTTCTACCAAGTATTGGGCTATTGCCGATGCATGTGGGTGACCCCTTATGCACGTGCCACGTGCAAAACGAAGAGGTGTCAGTTTTGTAATTGTTGCAATATCTCGGTAACTACTTGGCCGATTGCGCTGAAAGTTGGCATGTAGGTAGGCACCCACTAGGCAATGCATATCCATGTGCCAGAATTGGGGTGCTGCTGCACGTGCGCACGTGCAGGGGTCGATTCCAGATCTCGAGAACGGCTGGACCGATGGCGCTCAAATTTGGCACATGGTTAGGGACCGGTTAGTAGGGTGCCGTGCAAAACTCAGTTGGGACCCATTTTGCACGTGCGCACGTGTAGGGTGCCGCTTCCAGATCTCGAGAACGGCTGGGCCGATTGTGCTCAAATTTGGCACATCGCTAGAGACCGGTTAGTAGGGTGCCGTGCACAAGTCAGCTGGAGGTACCTCGTCGAAATTTCGCACGTGCAAGGCTCACCCTCTCGCTCGCTCCGTTAGTCGCCCCAAAAGGCGTTATACTGGTTATATACTCTACAATCATTTTCCGGCGCATGAAGTGATGCAACAATAAGCAAAACGTAAGGCGACTACTCATTTGCAATTTCGAAATGCCCTTCATATGCGTAGAGGAGGGTTCATATGAATATGCCTCATGGCTCATGGAGAGTTCATACCTGTACAGGTGCATCGTAACCATCGCACTCATACTGACTAAAATAGCCATTTCAAGCTGTCTTTAAGTTGAGTTAATGCTTTCGCGGGTATGGAAAAGACATTCGGCCGGATAGCTTGCACTTCAATTTAATGTATTTCTGCGCCCACGGTTTGTAGCCTGGCGACGGTGGTTTGCAGGAGACGTGCACATTCAGTAGAGTCGTTGCAAACTGCCAGGGGCTCATTTATCATTTGGAGGCATATCAACATTTATCACTTGACATTGGTTGCAAAGCGTTGGCTTTTGCGAGCACAACACAATTTCATTCTGCTTAGCCCTTCAGAGCTGGACATTTAATCACAATTCCTTTTGGTCACTGTGCAATGTTATTGCCACGGGGCTGGGTGCCTGATGCCAGCCACAGGTCAGCGAATTGATATTATTTTGCAGTTATCCAGTTTTTAAAAAAAGTAGAGTGAAACCGAGAAGAATTAGACGTGCGAGATAAAATCGCCAGGTCAACTAAGCTTCAAACGAAATAATAGTACAAAAACAACTTTAAAGTCATGAAAATAAGTTTGAAAATGCTGCATTCAATTTACCTTCTTACCTATGTATATTTTTCATTCGAAGCAAAACACAATGAAATGAACCAAATGACTTACGAGATCATGCGCTAACTAATTCAAATCATATGTTAGTGGTTAAGTATTTCATTTTTCCCTCGCTCAGGAAAAAGAATAATAACACACCCGCCCGCACAGATCAATTCTTTCTTTCCCATTATTTCCCCCGGTTCTTATGCGTATGCATGAAGAGCGAACCTTTATGTTAGTCTTTTATGTAAAAGGCAATAAATCGTTTCAATTGCACAGCAGGGTCCATGCGCAGAGCTGCAATGAAGTGTACAGCTCGCATTGAGCGTATCCGGTAGCTGGGAAGCGTACAGTCAACACCATGAATAATGAATGCCCACCGCCGACCAACTTTGTCCTCTGCAAAATGCACACTGTACTCAGGTCAGGAACTGACTACTCAGGTCAAATGGAATCGTGCAATTAAAGTAGCAGCTTCCGTGAGCCGGCGACATAAATCGCTGCCGACAGGGAGGCAATCAGTAGGTACGTGTTCTGTCGTCCCCGTCATGTTCACTACCACGAGCAATGTCATGTTTCCTACTGTTTTAAATTGATCTGCAGTGGAAGCTGTAATGCCCTTTTGCAATCAACTTTGAACATTGTGTAACAAAGAAAAGGACACCAGGTCAAGGCCATGTCAGCTCCGGGGCAGGCCATTAGATATTTGACATAGAAACATGCTTTGTTCTGCACGGCTGGTCCGGTCCTTATCCGCATCTTAAGCACACGTCGTTACGAGGCTAGCGATTAAAGCTTGCTAAAGGTGGCTACCAGTAGCGTCCTTCAGTCGAACGAAACCCGGGCAATGTGTACTACGGAATGAGCCCAGGTGAGACGAACTGAAGATACCAATACGATTGCTTATTTTTACCCACAAGGCCCTCAATCATTGCACGATGAACTTGGACGATCTTGACGATTGAACTTATAGGTACCGGTATTCTAACCGAATGAATCCCTGCAAGCAAAGCACTCGAAATCGAGCTATTATATTGGATTTCGCCCTAGAATGTAGTCGTACTTGCATACCAGGCTGGAGACACCCCTAGCCCAGCCAGTGATGCAAATACTTACCGTTCGGTTCCATTTTTTGTCTGAAATATTCTGCCCGCCCAGGTGCCAGCAGAAGCTAATGAAGTAGTTTTCGCTGTCCTCGAGATCCTTGATTTTTAAACTCTTTACCAGAAAGGTCTCATCTTCGTAAGGCTGCTCCAGGAGAATGAAAGTCCACGCACCTGAAAAACACAAGCGGTGGCATGCTTTTGCAAGAGCTGACTTACCCCGCGCCCCGTAGGGCTATTGTCGGGCCTGCACCACCGGGAGGGGGCGTATGTGTTATAACATCGAGTAAAAGGCATGTTTTCGAAAACAATTGACGGATTAGTGTTTGTCTAATACGCATTATGCAAAATGAGGTCACCGACACCAGGTTTGGTCACAGAGGTCAGGACACTAAGGGTCACAATATGATTCCAACCAAAATAGCGTCGTGTGATGCATGCTATATGGTCAGTCTTACATTTCAAATTCAATGATGTGTGTAAGGCGAGTGACCATTGGCGCCAGTTTAGGTTACCTTCTGGTGACAGTCACGCCAAGGTCAGGTAATAAAGGCAAAATTTCAAGATAATGGAGAGCTCGCAAAATCGACCTGACCTTGGGTCACCGATATCAAAATTCCGAGAAAAACATTTTATGCATACTGTCACTCTTAACAATCGCTGAAAGTTTCAAAGCGATCGTTTAGTCTGTTTGGCCATGAAAAACATTGGAACTTTTTCCAAGGTAAGGGGTCAAAGACGTGATCTGGTGACCTGACATTAAATGACCCGGGTCCGAAATTTTGCAACATGAGCAGAAAAGAAGCATCGCAAGGTGTGCACAAATGAGATATGCGCAAAAGACCTGGGGGGGGGGGGGGCGTAAACAGCCCCCAGCACGGCACAGGTTAAAGGCCTTTCTGATTTATGTTCTCAGATCTGACCTGAGGCGAACGGCTTAGCCTCCGGAGAGCACAGCTGGCAAAATCGATTTTTTGCGCTCTTTTCTGCAATAACTTTTGACTCGAAATTTGCACAGCATTTATTTTACCGGCATCATGTTCCTCTCGTTTAGCCACGTCGAATGAGCTATAATATGACCTTAAAAGGTCATTTTGAAAAAAAAATTGACAGAGGGTTAAGGTCATGACCTGACCAGTTAAGTTATGTTGCATATTAGTCGATACGTATCGTTGAGCTAGACAGATCCCAGGTGTTTTCATAGCTCTGACATGTCTATCAAGAGCAATTGCAAGCACAATATGCTGGAGATCATTCATGAACTGAGATGACCTCAGGGAAAATGGCTATAAAAAAGAGTCGGGGTACAATTTCCTGATTCAATGTATCATGCTTACTGTTTAATTCTAAGACGAATGCCTTATACTTGATGTTACGCTTATCCCTTGCTGAAAACTTTCAAAATGATTGTTTAGTCGGTGAAGCCATGGCAACCGTTGGGTATAACTTTTTCCGAGGTAAGGTCACTTGACGTAACCAGGTGACCCGACGTTAGGTGAACTGGGTTTCAACTTTTCATAACGCGTGTAGAAAAGATGCATACAAAGTTATCGTAAAAATGGCGGTGCTTCGTGCTATCGTTCATTAACTATGTGCGGAAAACCACAAGAGCGTTGTCTAAACACTCCCTCCCGTCCTGGCGCGGGTAAATTTGATGCGTCCCTCGACAAATATGCGAAATGTACAGCATTTTGTATGGCTACCCTCATACCAGTTAAGTTCATATTTTTTAAAGTTTCGTTTGAAGTAGATCTAAGATCCAAATCAAGAGCACGTTAGCTCAACAAATAGCGCGAAAAGAGTTTTAATCTGTTTCATGAAACAGAATGTGGCTTTTCATTTGACTAAGCGATGCGGTGGTAATTCAACCACCTTAGCCCTTTTTAACACTCTCGAATCAGTTCAGTGGAATGGAGTTGATGAAAGCTCTGTAGGGCGCTACAAGCACTTTGTAAATTGGGACAGCCGTGGACATTCCGTGGGATAATGCCGAGTGTTTCCCAGATTGTAGGCCCTGGAGCGCTCGTCAGGATAACGATGTCGTACCGAATGCGGCCACGAAGGAGACGAGGATGAACATGCCTCCATGGCTGAGAAGAAGGCGCAGCAGGCGCGTGTGTAGCGCCACTGGATGATGGTCCTGCAAAACCGAAAGCAGAATAGAATAACACACAACAACGACAGACGACACATAACATTACGAGGGTGCGCCATTGAGGCTTGGACAGAGCGTTGCAACTATTGTTAAACACTGAATAGGTACATTATTAGTTTGCTGAACCTTTTTCGCAAGAACGTTTTTTTATCAATATGAAGCAAACGCTATTTTGATTATTTCGTAGAAAATAAATGAGAAACAAACAGTGAGTACTTTGCTCAGCTTCATTGAGATAAGGAATTCTAAAGTTGAATTTTGTAAGTCGTTATATAGGTCGAAGTTTTACTAGGTTTTTATCCCGTCAAACTACATACCTCGGAACTCATGAGGAGGCCTTCCTCCAAAACAAGTTTGACTCTTCAGACAGTGCTGGACTGCTGGTGTTCAGATGGTATGAACAATGCCCTGAAAACAAGCCAGCATCGTATAAAAAATAGAATGCTTTTTATCCAAGTCTACGTCGTAGAAGGCGATGCTGAAAGCACAGACGTATGCCTAAACGGTGGTTAGTTATACGTAGCGTTTGATAAATGGACGTTTTTAGGTAAAATACGTCCGTATGTATGTACCAATATCTCCAGACACTAGCCGTTTTCACGACGGGCTATCCGGCGAATGCACCTGATTTGACCAAATCTGCACCTAATTTCTTTTACAGCAAATATCTTTATTTTATGAATATATTTCAGTGTTTTAATCGATGATGCTCTCTGATAATATGACAAAGCAGGCATATAAGCAATTAGCGCAACCCTAGCTGATAGCTGCTAAGAGACACATTGAACCTGATTTGACCAAATCTGCACCTAATCTGTACCAGATGTGCACCAAATGTGTACCAGATGGCCGCCGTGAAAACGGCTACTATTCATGGATCATATCCGCCGAATAGAGGCGGATCATTTCTTGGAACATTATGAATTTCTTCGGTGTTTGTGTCTGGATATTAAAGGTAGTGTGCCACCTTTGAAAGATTTCCCATTTTATTTTTCCTAGGATAAGAAGCTTCTGTTTTTACCTAATATCGCAAAAAAAATCAAAAATGGGCCTGGAATAGTGCCTTTTTCGCCTAAAAGTTTATCGGTTTTTCGATATGTATAACAACTGTAGTGGGCTGACCTGCAAACAGGCGTCGGCAACAATCGCGAATGCGGCGCACATGTGACAATAAGCAAAGGTCATTATAGAATTACGACGTGCGGGAATGAGTTATCAGCTGTCTAATCGTAGACAACACAATGTCGACTGTCGAGCCTTAAACTGTAAGCCTGTATTGGTATTGTTTCTTTTATTTGGCTGTCGAACATTATTTATGGTTTGAAATATGATTTTATGTAAAATAATTGATATGAAAAAGCCGTCTCATAAGTTATGACCCCATTTCACCACACGCAAGTGGCAGAAATGACAATGATCAGCTGACGCATTTTTCTTGGCCGAAGTCAGAGCGCGCAGCCCGACGCACCACCACCGCACCACAAAGTATGAGCAGAAGCCGCGCCCAAAGCCAGGGCCCCGGTAACGTGAGGTAGCCGAGTCGGGGCAGCGTGCGCTGACCCAAGCCGGGGCCGCAGCTTTGGGCGCGGTCTACCGCATCCCCGCGGGCAGCCCCGGGCTATCACATGACACCGGGAGGACGCGCGGCCCCGGCTTGGGTCAGCGCACGCTGCCCCGACTCGGCTACCTCACGTTACCGGGGCCCTGGCTTTGGGCGCGGTCTACCGCACCACCTAACAGGCGTGTTCGAAACCGCAGGAGATGATGATGAACGGGTTTATCGAAACTTGATTGGATGAGCATATCGGTAATAGCGATTTCAGTGTGTGCATTTATTGTTCATAGTGGTGTGAAATGTGGTTGGGGTACGACCGACAACCCGTCGGGGCGAATTTCGCACTGGGGTACTCAAAATTTGAAGAATTTAAGACGTTTCCATGAGTTTTGAAGGTATGGATAAGTTCTAAAAATCCGGTTCTCCTTATCTGGGCCATTAACTCCATACGGTCCAGGAAAGCTGGCACACTACCTTTAATGAAACAAAGAAATAAAACATTTATTGTCTCATTCGATAAAGATAAAACACGGTAAAATTATACCCATGCATATGCGTTTACATGCTTCCTAAGAGCCACTATAATTCGCGTCCATATGTATGTTTTTGTAATTACTGCAGCCTACACTCCACAGCAAAGTGGCTATTACGTGTCAATCATCAGGGAATAAAACGGCCCGTCAGTAATTACAACAGTTATTTACTATGAAGAGTCGGGCTTTCGGTCATATACACGTTAAACACATTCACTTATGTGTGATGTCGTTATGAAGTGTAGTGACACTTATAAGTGACACTACCGATGACACTACCAGTGACACTACCCCGATGACACTGGTATAAGTGCAGTGAAATCGGGCGGCAGAGCCTCACCTCATGTGGTGGAGTTGGGGCGCGGCCGGCCGGGACAGCCGTCGGCCGTTGTCAGCTCGTCTGTCTGCCCATCGAGTGAGCGCCCGTGAGCCCTCGGGGGTCGGCGAGGGTGGTCGGTCGGTCGGTGGTGCTTCCGTCTCCATAGCTGCAGGACAACGGAAGGAACAGCGCGTAAGGACGGATTAGTCATTTGGCGCAGCGAGTGTGAGTGAGAGACGGAGAGAGGGTGAGGCAGGGGGAGAGAGCGAAAAAGAGAGAGAGAAGAAGGGAAAGAGAGAGAGAGAGAGAGAGAGAGAGAGAGAGAGAGAGAGAGAGAGAGAAAGAGAGAGAGAGAGAGAGGGAGGGAGGGAGTGAGGGAGGGAGGGAGGGAGAGGAAGAGAGGGCTGCTGATGTTGATGATGTAAATAACATCCTGACACAGCGAGACGACTTCCAGTCCAGATCAGTTGGTGACATACCAGGGAAATAAGCTAAAATTAGAGTGCTCTATTTATTGCTCCTGCCCCATGTTGAAGAGATACCCCTAAAAGCGTGATCTTTTATCGGCCCTTACGCAGCAAGGCAGTACTTCTCAGGCCGGTGGATGGTATCAATAGAAAGAGAATGCGTCAAAGATTAACATGAATTAATTAAAATAACATTAAAATGTTAATTAAGCGTGGAAATTAGTCCCAAACTTAAGCTAATTATTGCTCCTACCGCGGCGACGGCGCTCCCCGCAGTCAGCGGAGAAGCTAAAATAAAAGCCACCATCCTCCTCCGTAAGTCAATTTTAGAGCGGCCGAGTGGGCCGATGCGGGGCCACCAAACTGAGGTGAGACGTGGCTAGCAATTGCGAACTGCCATAGAAATCAATATCTTAAGACGTACAATATGGGATGATTACTCTGAAGCAGGAGTGAAAGCATGAGTAGCTAGCAAGAAACGAAATGCATAGATTGGTTGAATTATGTACAATAGGCACAGCTCAGATGAAGCCATTTCTTTGATGTTGACATTTGACATAACCCTTCCTCTCCTCACCTACGACCTAAGTACGTTGGCAGTTACCGGCATAGTTTTTTTTGCACGAGTGTAATTCGCCATCGGACCGCAATGCATGTTGCTAGGCTGCTGCAATTACAACGAACATACGAATACTGCCTTCATTTGTAGACGTTTGTTTTTTAGGCGGTCTTTGACGTACAAGGGGGCATACCTGTCGACAACTTGAGTTTCTCCGAATTTCAAAAACTCCCAGAATTCAAATTCCTTATGCACTGTTGTAGGTACAGCTATGTTCACAAGTTTTCGTTTCCTCCTGCTCTAAAAAGGATGATATTTGTCGATTTCGTGCGTCGCTGATAGAAGGGTGCGTTTAATAATTAGGCCCAACGCTTTCTGCATCCGCGAGTACCTTGAAAAGGGAACAACAGTTTCCATTTATTACACTATGGGACAAGTGACAAAATGACCACCGCAACACGCATGAAACGGAGCTCATATTCCTAAAAATGTCTACAATCACTTCTTTTCTGACACTATTAGCAAATACCATCTCAAGTTAGGTGGTTGACAGACAGTCAATGGAGATCTGGGGAGACTGAGTGATGCCAATTCACCACTTAACTGATAATGAGGGCCGAGGGGAGAGAAACATGCAACATGCACAACTGACAACTTGACAAGTGACAAAACACTACCACTATTGCGCAGTGCACAACAAATTACAGCAGCCAGCCCAAAAATGCTTTTGGTGGCTAATTGCAAAACAAGTCACTAATTAATGTCTTAGTTGCAGCTGAACACTGCACAATGATCACTCTGTTCACACATTGAGTGAGATGCCACAGGTGGTTTGAATCACACTTTGGTACAACTGCAAATCTGAAGTGTTGTCATGAGGTTCATGCCTCCATGATCACAGCACTTTGGTTGTGGTTGTGGTTGGCATAACACTTGTAGTCTGCAGAGTTCCACATGAACTGCAGACACCTCATCTGGTGGTCTTCATGTTGCTCAACTTCTTCAGGAGGCAAATGTCGACCACCCAGCGGAAGCATGGTCCTGCAGAAAAGAAAGGTAATGCATAAGGTACAAACATTATCTGCTGAAACAGCCCCTTCTGTTTGCTGTTATTAAACTTTTAACATAACATAACAACATGTATTCCATGTATATTACATTTGTTGAAGTAAAATACTGCCCGCTATTTCAAAACCAGAAAATGAAATTATATTGTGGCATAATTCACATGCTCAGCTATCAGTATAATTAATTTAAAATTTGGCATATTCTATATAACACATTCATAGAATGTTCTACTTCACGTCACAAGGACTCACAATCTTTCTGTTGGGTGTTTGATTGACGCATTAACTAGGTTTGTCTTAGGTTTTATTATTGCAAAAAATTCATATTGCATTATTGTATCAAAATACTGCCAGCAATAACAAAACAAGAACATGAAATGTCAATGAGCAAGCCGCCTTTCCTAAAAATGGATTACTTTGAAAAGAATTTTAGTTTCTTTTAAGGAAAAGGAGAAATGATTATCAGGTTATTATCAAAAAACACTCAACCAGCAAGTGGCTGGGTGGTTTCACAGCAAACATCAAGCCAAAACATATGCTTACATTTATCTAACAATTGAGCCATTTGACTACACAAGGATATGTGAGCAAAATAAGAATCCAATCATCCAATGTTGACTTCCTTGCAAAGTTTATGCCTTATTTTATGAAAATGTGTCACTAGAATATGATACTTATCATCGAATATTATTTAATTTACGATTTATTTCGATCGGAACGCACATGGGGTCCCGCGCCATTTTCGTCGACGATAAATATGATCGTGTTTCATGAAGAGATAAGGGGTTTCAATGGTCTTTCAAAGCAATAATTTGATGCAAAAATTTGTAGGAAATAATATAAAGCTGGTTCAAATGGCCATCAACCATTTAAAACACCGAAAATACTCACAACTCCGTCCCGACGACCACGCAGCACCGCGCACGCCACACTACTGGCACAATGCCAAAACTGCCGTCACAGCAGAAATGTTTTTTTTCTCGATTGCAATTGTGGAATTATTTATTAAACAGAAGATTATCTTTCCGAAAAACCGACTGATTTCATACACAGATGCATGGAAAATAAAAAATCCCGGTAAGTTTATTTGTATCGTTTTGTCGATTTTGACATGCTCCTAGTTTGCAGCCATATTTCGATATGTTCTACAGGGAGTTCAGAATTATTTCAGGACCAATCTTTTCCTCATTCATTTTCCCGTCGATCATGAAATTTTTAGAGCGGAACAATTAGTTTCCAGGCGGTCCGAGCGGTTTTCGTGAGAAGGGTGCAAAAATCGGCGTCATTTTTAGAGCCTCGACACCAGCTCAACACAGGACCCTATGGGAGACGGTGAAGTAGCGGGAGCAATAAATAGAGCGCTCTAATTTTAGCTTATTTCCCTGGTGTGTCACCGACTGAGATGATTTGATCGTTTTCGGTATGCAGCTATTTTCGCTATACATTCAATTTGGGTGACGAATTGGGGGTGGGGCGGCTCCCGCGCCATTAACGACTAGCTCACGTATAGTTCACGACGAGTTTGCGGCGATTTCACGAGTAGTTCACGAATGAGCACGCACCCGTGTCCACATTGCACGAAGTGGTTCGATGATTTCACGCATAGTTTGGCATAGTTTGCGCATAATTATCGCACTTTCGCATGTTTGCACAAGTTTGTCCATTGCGCTTTTCATGAAGACTCTGGCACGCAACGTGAAATAAGGCTACTGTCAGACAGTAACCGTGAACTATCCGTGAAATTGTCGTGAACAGCTCGTGCCATGTAATTGCACACACTATTCGTACCGTACCTACGTAAACTGGTCGTGAACTACGAGTATTCATGCCATCAATGCCAATGCGTCAAGTACGCGAGACGGTGTCAGTGGGAAGGCACGGCCACGTTGCGATCCTTATCATTTCGTGAAAATGTCGTGAGATACTCGTGAATTCGACGTGAGGTGTCCGTGACCTATTCGTGGTTGTTCGTGACAGTTGTCGCATGGCGCGCATTGCACTCACTGGCACGCATTCTGTCGCATTGACCCGACGAGTTTACGACGACTTCACGAACAGTTTTCGCTTAGTTCACGACTTGGTCTCGAACTTTTGTCGTGAACAAAATTTTGACCCTTTAAAAATTATCGACCTGCCATGACACGCACTCACGACGAGTTTACCCATAATTCAACGGCTAGAGTCATGCCAATGCGTGCCACTCGTGCTAATGTCAGCTTGGCGCGGTGGACCCTGTTTACTGAAAACGAGTCATTCGGAGTTGAGGAACCAAGTGATGATAATCTGGCACCTCTAGCGGCCGACCAATGAGCTGCCGGGCCGTCTCGCCCGCGGCGGTGACCTGTTGCGGGTCGCGCGGCCCGGCGAGCGGCGTCGCCGTCAGAGGGCGGTCGGCCGGTCTGTGACGCGTTGGAGGCGGGTCTGCATGAGTCCGGCCCGTGGTGGTAAGATTCTGCTGACAGGGGCATCGGATGGGGCTGGATGTAAAGACTGCTAATAATGCAGATATTGTGACGTTTTCTACTCTATGATAAGCTGTTGCTGATCGACAGTATGTCTTCAGACGTTAGCGTGCAGCCGCAAGCAAAAAGTGAAAGTGTGTGTGCCAGTGGTCATTTTCCATTGACTGAGTAATGAGTTAGATACTTTTCACTCTTATTTGGAGCAATGTAATATTGACACCACGGTATTTAAAGCAATTCTTCAAAGCAATGTCAGTCAAGCTTGTTGACCCTTGACCTAGCAACCTTCTCATAGTGATGGAAATCAGATGGAATAGTAAACTTTTGCTCATAACTTAAGTAAGCTAAAAACAAATCCAAAATACAGGGTCTTTTATAATGAATGTTACTTTTGAACATTTAGTTAGGAGCTCTTAATTTATCACTTCCGCGTGAATTTTATATGCGTATTGTTGCAAATTGATTAGGGTTTTGTCCCAAAAAATAAAAAAATTCACAACGCCAATTTTCCTTCACGGAAAAGCAGAGTATGTCGACACCACTAAAACGCATTACGGATTACGGTCGACGGACAAGTCTTCATCCATTGGCTCTCCCCTGGGTCAACACTGAACGGGGTGGCTTACCTCAGGCTGCTCAAGGAATGCTTCTGCCTCAGGTCAGGGACAAGGCTCAAAGAGACGGCCTTGGTTCCGGCAGGATGGTGCCACAGTGCACACCATGGCAGCTGTTGCGCCAGTGGCTGATCGAGAATTTCGAAGAGCGCGTTATCAGCCGCCTCACCGAGCGACCATGGCCACTACGGAGTCCTGACCTCTCCCCTCTGGACTACTGGCTTTGGGGAGTCGCATTGGCAGATCTGAGACAAACCCCTCCTGCAGCCATCCACTGTGAACCACAGTGGAGAGGTTTACTGGAAGCCTGGACCCAGACGTTGTGAGGCGCGGGGTCGACACCTTCGTCAGAGGGCCGAAACGTGTGCCTTAATTAAGGGCGATACAGTGGAAAATTCCTGAGGAGCATTAAAATGAAAGTTGTGTGTGCAAAAACGCTAATGTGTTTCTGTTTCATGTGATGGTACATATTACATGAGGAACATATATGTCCTGAGAAATAGCTCTTTCAAAAGTAACATTCATTATGAAAGACCCTGTATATTTTCGGTTCTTCATTCCACTGAAGAAGGTCCAGCACCGAAAACATATTTTAGATTTGTTTTTAGCTTTCTTTAGTTATGAGCAAAAGGTTACTTTTCCATCTGATTTCATTATAGTCATAATCATGCTAAAAAAAACGTCTCACACCATTCAATTCTCATAGTGAATTAAAATGTACAATTTTCCCCCGTTTGCTTTTTCGCAAATGGTGCTGTACCTTCTGTCCCATGTTCGTGAATTGTAAAATCCTTTTAGTACAATTTTACTGTTCTGTTCAAGCTAAATAGGAATTCCAGAGTATAACGGATAGCGCATCAGCGTTCAATCTGTGCTTTTGACCTTTGTTAGTCTTGCATCTTTTTCAGGAGTAAAGAAAACCGAGCTTGTTGACTGATAATTTTAAACGTGAATCTTCGGGGCTCCCAAAGAGCACGACCCTCGGTAACCAGTCACCTTTGAATTCCTGACTCCGAACCGATGAACCGGTGACGCGACACGCTTCATGGTTGCCGAAGTCGATACAGCTAAGCCAATGAAATAACGGCGACACAGCACTCACCTGGATCAGAGAGTGACATTGGCTCTCTGCTCGCCTGGGCCGACGAACGTGGGTTTCACCGGACTTCGGTCATCTTCTAGTCATTTTTACTAATGTTTGATCTTTGGTCGTCTGGATCGGTCATTTTGAGTCGCTGAGACAGTGGAAACTGGAAGCCTTCGAAGTTTGAATCGTATTGACCGGTAAGTTGAAACGGTGCAGTGGCGGTCGGGCTGATTGAATGAATGACCAGACCACTAAATATTTTTAGGTACGATATAGGTAAAATGCAGTTTATTCTGTGTCCGTAGTTATCGGAACACCGTCAGTGATGCTCAAATAACTCCTGAACTGGTAATTGCTCGAGTTGTTTTGATTGCTTTGTGTTTATGTTAAGTCTTCTTTTCATTTAAGTTTGCCATTTGTCGCAATAGCTTGGCTTAGACCAATGCAGTCAGCAGTGTAATTTGTTCAGCCAACTTTTTAGTCAATGTTTGCCGCTTGCGTGTGTCTGATAACGTGGGTCGTTACTCGTTCGTAATTCTGTATGCGGAAGGACGCGTGTATATCACACCACGGTGAGATTTACATAATGCATCGCACTGTAGTGTAAACCTCACCCGGGTGTGATTTACACAATACACTACTCCTGTGTATATCACACCACGCGGAGTGTGATTTACACAGTGGGCCGGCAATGCGTAAATCACACCGGGGTGTGATATACACAATGTGCTCCTAGTGTGTAAATCACACCCGGGTGTCAGACCACGCAGCAGCTGGGTGTGATTTACACAGTAGGCCCGGCAAATGCGTAAATCACACCGTGGTGTGATACACACAATGTGCTCCTAGTGTGTAAATCACACCTGGGTGTCAAACCACGCAGCACCTGGGTGTGATTTACACAGTAGGCCTAGCCAATGTGTAAATCTCACCAGGGTGTGATATACACTGTGTGCTCGGTAGTGGGTAAATCACACCTGGGTGTCAAACCACGCAGCACCTGGGTGAGATTTACACAATAGGCACGGTAACAAGACACTTAACCAAACCTTAGACCTGACCTGACCTGACCTGACCTGACCTAACCTAACCTAACCTAACCTAACCTAACCTAACCTAACCTAACCTAACCTAACCTAACCTGACCTACTGATTTTTGCCTACCCGTGGATGAGGAAGAAGGTACTCGCATGAAGAGATTGCAAGCAATGGTAAGTCAAATATTTTTAGGTTAAGTGGTTGTGCATCAGGCTTCAGGCCTTCGGCCTGAAGCCAGATACACAACCACTTAACCTAAAAATATTTGACTTACCATTGCCTGTAATCTCTCCTAAGGCATTGCCTTCGGCACTGCACCGCTTCGCCACGAGCATTCAGACGTCGCTTTCCATATTGTATTGGTGCTTTTAAACTTGTCGGTCGGCAGCGAACCCACCGCTACCAAGGAAAAGCGAAAATGCGGGAAAAAGCGCCCGCACCGACGGGACTCGAACCCGCGACATTCGTAACATGGTGCAAGCACCTTCACCACTAGGCCAGGCGGTCAGGTGATTTCGAGAGAGAGGACGCCCGGAATCCCGCCGGAATATTCGTAGTGCTTAGTCTGATCTGACCAATGGGCGAGCAGAGTCACTGCTCTGACCAATGGACGTTCAGCGTTGCTATGACGTCACATCGTGGTGAGATATACACACAGCTGCCCTCTCTGTGTATTCCTCACCCGGGTGTGATTTACACTACGTAGTAGATTTTGTGTATATCACACCGGGGTGGGTGTGATTTACACAAATGGCCGGTATTGTGTAAATCTCACCGTGGTGTGATATACACGGTCCCTATGCGGAAACATGTCACTGGAAGCGTAATGGTCGTAAGGGGCCTTGCCTACCACTGAGTCTTTGTTGCTTGCTACTGAATAGTTATTTATTTCTGCCTGGTTAACATTTCAAAAGAATCATAACTTTGAAAATGATGAAGATCCCTATTAGCTTACGTTGGTATAGTAAATAACTTTATGGAGCTGATAATTCATTTCATGGCATTGGCCTCTATCCAATACAACCTCCATATTGGTGCGACATTGTGCTCTCGGCCGGGCTATAACCCTGTGACAGTTTGGTCTCTTGCACGAAACTTTCACTCGTCCTCTGCCGACAGATGCCGGTGCCCGACACATCTCCAGCGATGGGTGGTCCTCTGATAGAGCAGCGTCCCTCGGACGGCTCGGGCTGCAGCCGATCTGCAGACTCTGATCACCAGCTACAGGAACTGTGAGTGAGGGACGGACGATCACAACGAGCTGGAAACTAACAGTGGAGAGCTCGTTTTACAGAATTGGAGGATCAAAAGCATGCGATAGCATGCTTTTGCATCCGGAAATTCCCATTGGTGGGTCGCTGAAAAAAGTTCGGCTGAACCTGTTTGTCAGTGATTGAGTATGTGAGTGAGTTTGTCCAAGCTTTTTTGGACCTGGAGTCAAAATGGGTGGACCGATCGGGACGAAAGTGGGACCGTTTGATTCGTCTCCGGCGAGGTAAACTTTTGGTGCTGGCCTCGATTCGCTCGGTGCTTCGTGGCACATGCTATTCCGCTTCAAAGTTTCGGTGACACGAAATTTTTTGTCAAGGCTTCAGGTCAACCCGAGGTCACGGGCAAAGCCATACTGGCGGGACACATCGGTAACACCTTGAACCAGTTTCCAGGGGGGTCACCGTCTGCGAGGGGTGCAGGCTGCACGTGCTGGGGTCGGAAAACCGTTTTGACGTGAGGTCCTCTGGCTCAAATAAATTTTAAGCTATCAACCTCAAAATCGGTTACATGGTAGTCCCAGGCAAGGCCTCCAAAATAATGCACATTTGGTTGAGCTAAACTCTGTGGTGCATGAGCTATGCACGTGCAAGCCGATTGCACCCCTTCGTATGTTGCCACGCCTGCAGGGTAAACGGCAGCTCTAACTGGTTCAAAACTTGCAGGTCATAAGAAGAATACATTTGATCACGACATTCCGGCGAGATAATATCCGAGGGGTGCAAGCTGCGCGTGCGGGGGGCGGATAACGGTTTTGACGAGGGATCCTCTGATCCCGGGAAACGTCGATCTAGCGACACAAAAGTCGGTTTTTAATGAAGTCATTGGGCTATGGATCCTCCAATTCTGGCCCAAGGCAACGCACGAGCGCTGCCGGCATCTAGTTAATTTCAAGCAGCCGAGCTTTGTCTTTGGGTTATTCTTTTTTTATTGTCGTAACGTTTTTGATTGTTTGATCCTTTTTGAAGAAATTCTTAGAGAAAGGAAAGTTAACCTACTATCATCGTTGCTTGTTTCATTTTCTTTGATTTTTACATCTCTCTTTTTCTCTCCATTGACCTTTGGCGCTGTTTTGTCTTTTGTCTTTGTTAGGACAATAACCTCTCTTCCATTCAGCGTGCTCTGGTGTATTTTGGTTTCCGTCAAGGCTCAGCGAACATTTTCTCGATCTTCCGCAGGGTGTTATGCTACTACGGGTTCCGGCCGTTCCTGGATAACGCTCAGGTGGAGCTCAGCGACTCGTCACCACGGACCCGCAGCTCGGCAATGACAGAGGAGACCCGCGCCCGCTCCGTGCCCACACGCCGCCGCGCCGGTCGTGGCCAGTCCGGCTCCGGCGGAGGTCACTCCGGCTCCGGGGGAGGCCACTCAGCTCCCGGAGCTGGCCGCTCTGCCTCCGGGAGTGCCCGTTCTGCGTCCGGAAACGGTCGTTCTGCGGCTGCGTACACCTCCAGTAGCAGCCGTTCGGCCTCTGGGAATGGACGTCCAGCTTCTGCGAGCGGCCAGTCAGCCTCCGGTGGTACCCGGGGCTCGCGTAACCGCACACCTGTCGGCTCTGAGCGGTCAGCAGCTGGAGCGAGCTGCACCCCGACCTCATCCCAGGCGGTCACCACTGCTCCGAGACATACTCCGGTCCGGCAGACCACACCTGATGGAAGAGGAAGGTCATCGCCCGCACAGAGGGCGGAGCATGCCGGAGTTAGGACTCCGGGGAGCGACTCTATAACGAGCATCACCCAGCCTCCTCCGGCACCGGGGCTGCTGCCGACGCCGCCTTCGATGGCGCAGCAGCGTCTGTCCGCTTCATCGCGGTGTCAGGTGTCTCGGTCGCGCCCTTCCCGGCCCATCCCCGCTTCGGCCTCCGCCCCTCTCCTTCACACACCCCCACCAACAGCGCCACCGCTACCTCCTCCGCCTGCGCCACCTCCCCGACACCTAGCGGCCCTGATGAGTAGACTCGGTCTCATGGACCTGCCGCCAGGGGCGCTGCCACCGTTCGTCCGCGTACCACCACCGCCTGCTGGTACGGTGTTCTTTGGGTCACGCTCTCATGGTTCATTAGAAGTGGAGCTAGACCGTTGTCACCTACCAAGACGACGGAGCCGGTCCGGCGGAGAGGGTCCCATCCGGCTCATGGAACCCCCTCCCCCGCCTCCCGCGTGCTGCCCCGGCGGGTGGGACCATCGGGACAGCTATGACCCCAGACTGGACGACCAGAGACCTCAGCTCTGGGAGGAGAGGACCCGGGAGCAGGCGCGGGCCGAGAAACTGCTGAAGAACTTCGACATGTTCAGGTCAGTTGCCAGATGGGTAGTCTCACATTTCTATGTTATAAACCAACATTATTGGAACTCTTCTCCACTGGCGTGAATCATTATTGCTCAACTTTTTATTGACGATCGTTCTCTAAGCGAGACTTGCTAATTTGGAAACGCTTCGATATTGGTTCTTGCTATAAGCCATTATTGAAATATGATTATTTCCTTCAGGGACTGGGATTACGTGCCGCGGCTGCCGGCCGACGGCGGTCGACACTGGCGGAGCTGCAGCGACGGAGACAGTGACGGTAGCGACGGAGGCTGCGTCGAGAACGACGGGGGCTGCGTCGAAAACGACGGAGACGTCAGCGGCTACAGCAGCGCCGACAGCGACACAGAGCCGACGATTACCATCTGCAGTCGGGTGAACGGCGTGTTCCACTACATACCGGCGCAGAGACTGCTCAAAGGAACGTCAGCAGCGCCGCAGAGATATGACGTCACCGATACAGCCGTCGGGTGACCTCATCGAGATGGATGTTAGAGGACGTCACATGTCGGCAGTGGGCGAACAGGAGGACATTTTCAGAGTTGAGCTGCATGGGAGAGAGACGTTCTTACGAGGTGAGGAAAGATGGTTGAGTGGTGTTTACGAATCGAATACGGCGCCTGCTGTCGCTGTGATAGGTGTTTGTGAAGCCCGCTAGTCTCGCACTAACCAAGCGGCGAACACTGGACAGTTGCACCGAGAGTGTCGTTATATTATCTGACCCTCTGGTAGCCAGCCCGACGGCCCTACTCCCGTGCGTCAGCGCTCCTGTGTGGATATGCATCTCCACTCTTCACGTCAGCTGTGTGGACGTTCCACTTAACTCCCCGGTCAGCTGTGTTGACAGTCCACCTCGGTCGCGTTATATAGTCAGCTGTGTGGACGCCAACCCCGTCCGTCACTGATGTGTGGACCGAGATGGACCGAGGTGGACTGTGTCGACGGTCCACCTCGGTCGTCTGCCAGTCAGCTGTGTGGACGCCCACCCCGTCCGTCACCGCTACTGATTGCAGTGCACTCCACCCGTCGCTATGCTGTGTGGAAACCATCCATCAGTCATTATCGCTGCTTGGAATGTCCAGTGCTCATTCCCGCCCATCGCAATGCCGTGTCGAACGCCGTCGCAGTCACCTCTCGCTTTATTTACCCCGGTGGCGAACGCGAGGCTGGCGGGGTGAATCATTTTTTCTTTCTTTTAGAGGGCCTCCTGTGTCGACCAGACAGGCAACTGGCGGGACTCAATGGTGGCGCCAATTTACGATGGTGGCTGGTGGGCGATTTTGTATATGCTGAAGCTTTTGGTTTGTATATAGGAGGGAGGGCCGGAATATTTTGGGTGAATGATTTTTATTCACTGCCAATACGGTCGCTCATATAGCTATTTTCTAAGATTTTATCATCCGTATTTTATCTATTTCGAATAATTCATTTATTTTGAAGCGGTAACAAATTACTATAGCTTTATTCTCTAACTCACCATGTAAAACTTCGACGTGTAATCTGCGCTAGGTGGGGTTGTGTATGTAAATAGCACCTGAGTAATGTACAACATTTAAATGTGATAATCACCTCAAAGGCAGAGTTTCAGCACTCGCTGCCTCCATTTATCACTGCGTGCATTCATGTTGCCTTTGAATCTGCCAAACATGGGCTCGATGAGTGGGTTTTACATGGCAGATAATTGTTTTCACATTAAAGTGTCCTGTGAATTCGCCCTGCACTTTCATCGCCCGTTTGACCATTGACCGCATTGAATAAACAACCGTGAACTGTTCGTGTCACCACTGACTGTTTGATGCACGTAGAGGCTCTCAGTTTGTTATTTTAAGGGTAATATTGTGCTTACCAGGAAATTGAATTCATGTCGTTATGGAGGATTTGTATCGTAAGTTTTGATAAAGTCTACCACAAGCGGCTCCGCCACTTGCTTTGCGGCGTGGTATAGCAAATGCGGCAGCAGCCAATTCGCTTTCGAATAGTGTTCGATTCATATCGATGTGTCGCCTAGAAGCAGAAATATGTACGGAAACGTGAACAGTAAAAATTTGGGGTTGAGGTCTATTCTGAGGACTTTGTTGGGTGAAATTTGGGTGATGTAAGGTCAGGTCAGGTCAAGGGGCTCATTTTCGGTAACACTGAGTCAGGTCAGGTCACCTTCGGTCGGGTCAGGTCATAAAGGTCACCTTCTGTCACAATGGATCAGCCTGGGCCATACTTCTACCACTACCCCAACACTACCCTACCCCTACCGCTACCCCTACTGCTACTCCTACCACTACCCCTACTACTACCCCTACCACTACCACTACCACTACCACTACTCCTACCACTGCCCCTACTTCTCCTACCACTACCCCTAACAGTACCTCGATCACTACCCCTAATACTACCCCTACCACTATCACTACCCCTACCATCACTACCCATATCACTACCCATCACTACCCATAACCCTACCAGTTACCACTACCCCTAACACTACCCCTACCCCTATCCCTACCCCTACCCCTACCCCTACACCTACCAATACCACTGGGTCATATCATGTCACCGACTAATTGAATCCAAAAGGTACGAAATCAATCAGATTTTCAAAATGGTCCTAGCCCTGCTCCTATTTGTGTCATTCAATTACGCATAATCGTATTTTGTCGATAGTGGCGCCTTGTGACAAATGAAAGACATTGTGAAACACATTGTGTATTTGTACCAGACGTTTTGTCATGCATCCTTCCACCGAATTGCACCAATTTATCGGCCCATACTTGACAAAGTTTTGCGACTTGAATAGTCTACCATTGAACAAAGCAAAGTTGATAAATGGATTCGTGTCGAATAATTGCTAACCATACCGATGCGACGTGCTACAGTGCAGTTAGGTATATGAACAGTTGATGGACACATGCTTGGGGTAGCCGTTGAAGCAATGTCTTGCTCAACAATTCATTCTGGTTGACTTAAATTTGGTTTTATTTTGAGCCATTTTGTACCTACCTACGTTCAAAGGCTTTCTGCTTATGGGTGCTGGACACTCGACAGCGGTGATAAAAGTACGTAACGCATGGTTTTGGATGCATTAATGGGCTTAGTGCACCAGTGGGGTGATAATTGCACGAGTGTGTTTTTTTTGCTATGAAAAATTATCTGCTGAAACGGTAACCGTCAGCAGAAGGACAAGTCTCAGCATTTGCATACCCAGATATTTAGAGTGCTACTAGGCCGTCATTTAACATTATAACTTACTTTAGCGGCAAGTCGTACACAATTAGTGCACAATAAATTATTCTTTTCACAAGTGCACTGGCTGACTGACTGTGAGGCGCGCGCACGCCATTTGCACCCTTTGTTTGATGTGATTTATTAGTCTGTAAAGGAAACGGTGCTAGCGTGTTCGGGGAGATATAGCAGCTCGCATGCCGTCCGCGCCCTGTCCCGAATTATTTCATTTTTTTTTATAGAAAATGGTAGACGATTTCTTATGACGAATGATATATACCGTCTGTATACGATACATTAGTGGTATCATTTTCCAAAAAATGTCTGACCGATACCGACCGAAACCAAAATTTGGGAAAAATTTCCGACCGAATACCGATCGATAACATCCCAAGCCAAAATTTGACCGAAATTTGACCGAACTTCTACATATTTGCTATTACTCTGCCACAAAATTCAATTGTTTCGTAAATTCTGGTGGAAAATAATGGGAAATGGCATTTCAGTCCAAGTTCAGTCAATTCTTAGCTACTGCAAAATACATTTTGTGGTAGAAGTTACATTGCTAAGGGTAGGGGAATTCAGGCCTTTGGGGAAAATTTTGCAACTCTTTATCATTAACATCCCAATAAATTTCATTTTAACTAGGCAAAAATGGAATACTTTCTCTTTTTGAAAATGGTTTCACTGGCAGGGTGACCGAAAGTGTCCGATTTTTTTTTTTTGGGGGGGGGGGCATGACCGACCGATTTCCGAATCGGTCAGCATATCTTTTCGGTAACCGATTGACACCACTACTATACAATTATACATGATATAACGATATTTAATTGATTCCATTCATCTGGTGAATTTACGGCTGCGATAATATATACAATCAATAGAAACGAAACGCTGACATGGTTTTTACCAAAGTTTCACTAGCCTTATTGCTGCCGGATTTGTGTTTGACTTGATCAGGACGATTGATGTTTCATTGTTTTTTTTTTTTCATTTCGTTATGATCGCAATCAGTTACCTGCCTAATATTAACCCTCGCCCGTAAACGGCGATCTGCCACCTTCGCCCATGCAGGGGGGGGGGGGTTGGTGCGACCCCCCCTTGGCGTTTGAAAACGGAGCGTCGTAGAGCTTAGCGGAAAAGACCAACGGATTGCTCTCGCCGAGATCTCGCGATTGGTGGTATATTTTTTGGTCCTAGGTCAACATTTGACCTACTTTTGACCGGTCAAAGGTCAAATTTTCGGAAAAATAGACTTTTTTCAACTTTCCGCGGCGATTGCGGCAAAACGGTGGGAGATATCGACTTGAAACCTTCACTATCGTGTTCCTTGATCAATTCTCTATCGTTTGGTATGTATTTCGTTTCCCTAGCTCTAAAAATGGCGCGTTGGGAGCGCCGGAAGTCGGCAAGATCACAGTCGGCGGCAGAAATTCGAAAAATCAAAATTCAAATTTTTGAAATCTGATTGTATTTTTGGATTTGGAAGGTCCATTTGCTCCCTATAGAAGCTAATATTGCTGCATATTCCCATTGAGGTGACAAGAATTAGCAAAATAGTGGTTCGGGCGCTTTTCAAAAATAGTACCGGACGCTGTTCCTCTTGTGACGTCATAGCTCCGTGACCTGACCTGACCCGGTCACGTTTCTTATACCATATGATAGCCAATACTTGCCCCAACATGCATGGGAAGTTTCATCACGATCCATCAACCGATGTCCGTACCACCGGCAGGAAACCTCGGGCGTTGGCACTCAGTTTGTGAAAATCCGGCCGGAGGCTGTTCCCTTTGTGACGTCATAACTCCGTGACCTGACATGACCCGGTCAAATTTTTTTTTACTAAAAGATGCGCAAGGTTTGCCCCATAAGGTACCCAAAATTTGGCGGCGCTGCGCGCCGCCGTTTTTGCACTATTTCCGAAAAACCTCAGGGGGGGGGGGGTTGCACCAACCCCCCCCTACATGGGCGAGGGTTAAAGGTAGACTGCCACCTTTTTTCCACAAAACGGTTTTCACTAGAGCTGAGCCACCTATGTCCCAGACTGAAGTCGGTTTTCCGAAATTCGAACCCGTTTGCGAGAAATCGGAGACCAAAGTTCAGTTTGATGCCATTTTTTTTAGTCCAAGAAAACCGACATCTCTACTGTTTATCGATAACTTTGAAACATGAATTTTCTTATCTTTTGGTAAATATATGTCAAAACTTTGATTGTTTCGAGATCAGAGAAGAATTTTGGAGTGTCAAAATAAAAGTTAAACTTATATATTCAGTAGTTCATTTTTTCCAAAAAAGTGTGGGAAATGGGGTTTAACATGGGCCAGACCCATTCCAAATGAGCCATGATTTTTAAATGTTTTACGAACTTAAATGCAAAATAAATTAAACATGGCCAATTTCTTATGAAATCATATATTAGTAAATCATAAAATACCTTACTTTTTCAAATAAAATGTAATAATCTTATGACCTTGAAGTCTAGTGATGCGTAAACATTGTCGCTAGACATTAACCGATTGATAATTGTATGATAATCGACAATTTTTTTCGCGATTCACGTGATGATACTTTGTCAGGTGAATTCTAAAATTTTGTTTTGTCCAGGGAATAAATCATAGGCCGATCTGAGAAAACTTTTTGAAGGTGGCAGTCTTTCTTTAAGCTCAGCTACTTATCTGCATAAAACTACCTATTGAAAAACGAGACACAGCACTGCATAGTGCATACGTTTTAGTGCTATGTTGGAATAAGCACACCTTATTGACCATTTGGCTTTCCTCCAGCGAAGACAAATGCCTCGCTTGCAAATAATGTTCTTGCGATATCCGTGATCGCAATCACCTGTTTGCATGCGGCTCATCTGTGAGCTGCATCCCGACCGACTTTGTAGGCGGGCTCTGCAATACCAAGCAGCCCGTGTTACTGTGTCGCACAGGAATAAGGCTCGGTCACCGCTCTGTATGACTCAAGTGCTGAGCGATCGGACATTGCTCTGCAGGACGCAGGCGGCGCTTGTACACATACTATGTGTGACGCAGAAGTTCTATATTCTATAACGCATATAGCAACATTCATTGCATCATATACCTAACCGAAGCGTATACGTAGCTATCATGAGTTCCACGTGAACAACTTTTGACACATAACTCACCCATAACTATAACAACACATAGCACGAAGTATACTTACAACCATGCATGAATACATGAACTATGCAAATAACATGAATCATGTTATCTATGTTACAACATATAACTAACCCCTCCCACAGTTTTCGCCCCACATAGTTATGTCCTTACAGAACATGCACCATGAATCAATATGAATAGTGCATCCCCATTGAATGAAACCGGCGAAGCCTGCCAAAGAGCTCGAACTACTGGTGGACGCTGCGCCCAGAAAAGGTTCTTTTGTTGAGAGGCCAGTTCATGAAATATTGCACAGTGCCCAAATCGCACAGCCCCTTATAGTGATGGAACGTCACTGGCCAAAACGCCTCAGTCCCAGTATCGACCTGTGGGAGTTGCCAGTCACCCCTGCCAATCTGGACGATGGCACCTTCACCCCTGCTGGCAGCTGTGACCGGCGGTGGTTATACGTCGGCTGTATAGTCACGACGCGTTTAAATGACGTCTGGTCGGGCATTTGGTCGTCTTTTGGGTGTTCCATGGCGTCCCTTGAGCGCTTACGGCGTCTTCTGGGCGCTCACGGTGTCTTTGAGAGCGCTCGGTGAGCGTTTGATCCAGCAGAGGAGGTTCAGCCAGAGGAACGAGCACGCGCCCACGTACAGCACACGAACACGGGTCGGCAGCAAGAAGAAGTTCACAGCCTGGGCTGGCAGCCAGAAGTATACTTGTTTCTGAAAGAGAAAAGGATGGTTATAAGTGTGCCGTTTAGCAAGTCGCATTTGCAAAAGGCCTCATTCGCATAATATTTCTTGCTGTATTTTCTACTTCACCAGCAAGCTACCATCAGCAACCAGATAGTACCTTTCACTGTATGCTTTTATACAACATCGGTTTGTCCCCAGCACTATCTTTCATCATTGCGCACAGTGGTCAGTGCAGCCTTCAGCTAAACACGACAGGATTGTCTAAATATAAGTATGTTACATTTACTGGCATGTCTGTAATAGGATAAACAAGTAAAGCATAATAGCATTCATACCCCAACAGACTGATGGACGGTGCCGGTGAAAATTCACCGCGAAAACACGCCGTGCTGACACGTTAGCCCGACTTAGAACCCATTAACAGCGTCGGCTGCTAATGGGAGTGCAAAAATACTTTGGGTGCGTGAGGTATTGATGCGATGCATGCGCATTAATGTATTCGTCACCATGGTAGTAAAAGATCCCGTCACGTAACAGTTAGGGACGCTGATAGATATTCTAGGCCGATTTTGGCCCACGTTCGGTGCACATAGCACGCCACTCCCCGTGCTCATGGCTCTGGGACTGCTAAATATTTACAGTATCGAATAGGCCAATATGAACAGTACACTCCTCAAACATAATTTGTGCCTTATCTTTTCACCGACAAAACAACGCTACCTATAAATAACGCCGCATATATGTCGTGTCACTGCCCGGTCGTGGAGGGCGAAGCTGAAAATTCACCTGCAGTGCCATATTTATGCTCAATAACCAACTTATTTGAAGATGGACTGCATTTCGTACAATGGTGGCTATTGCCTATTACGTCTGGAGTGGTATCTGTCATGTTCACTGGAATAACAGGCATGAAACAGGCTAGGATCGATGGCGTTGTAAGTGGCGACTGACGGCCACTGAGGCTTACAGGAAAATTAAAGCCGTTAACAGCCTTCATGTGGCACTGTATAGCTTTAACATCTGGCCACAATTTCTGGCAGGAAGGGCTCGGCCATTAGGGTACATATAACGAGCTGCCTCAAGTCAGTTTTGCGAGCCCAGGTTACCAACTGACTGTTGTAGTTACTCAGCAAGCATGCAGCTGAAGGAGCACGTGAACAATGCGTGAAAAGCAAAACTTGTAAGTATAGCGATGGTTGAGCTGATATTCTATCCGGCTTATCCATGACTGTACTTAAGAAGATATTGCTGTTTTGCATCTATGAAAATGCGTGGGAAAAGCCACATGCCAATAATCAATATGAACTTACTAAACATGTTCCAATGTATTTTTCTTTGTGTTCGGCGAACAAGTCTTCTTTCCTCTCCATTAGTGCCATTGCTGAAAATAAGATATTATTAGAGCCATCCTCCATAAACCAAATGTAAGTCAAAAATATTTAACTAACATAACAAAGGACCTATATCAAAACAAAATTTGAAAAAAAACTTCGTTTTCAATCCCGCTGTTTAGCCAAACCGATTCGATCAGCTGACCTGTGAAGAAAATGAAGATGTTGATTGGACCGATTACTCCCAGGTCGAGGACCAGCTTCTTGGCGACGGTGGACACCGCGGTACCGACCAGCCGTTTGTCCAGCCATCGGTACCTGAAACGTACCGCACGTCACAGCCTGGCCGATGCCTGCATATCGTTAAAATGCAGGATCGATACTGCACAAGTGCCGAGACGGGCATCGCCACTCATCGCTTCATGGCTCTTAATCGAACCGATCAGGCGGACATAAACTATATGCACTGCACATTCAGATGCTATTGAAACATATGTCAGCACAGAGTACTTACCAGTAGTAGAGAATGGTTGGGTTCACCGTATAGCCGAGGACGGCATACCTTCCCAAAGTCGCCGTGTCGTACGGCTGCTTCGGCTGCTCTTTGTCGCGCACCTGAATTAGACAAGACGATTTCATAATTAACCCGCGCCCCACTGGGGTCTGCGTATAACACGCCCTACTGGGGGGGGGGGGGGCTATTCATAGCCCCCCTCCTAACTCCGAAACTACTGGGCCGATCGTCAAAATTCAAACGGTGTCTGATAGCCCCGGAAAAACTGTCCAGCGAAACCTAATTTCATTGACCTCGAGGTCACCGATGACGTCACAGGTCAGGTCAAAGTAAAAATTATTAGCATTTTGGCTTGTTCACGTTTTGGGCTCTGGCCGCCGTCTTACAAGTCAGATCAGGCTCATTTTTGGTTCACACTCGTGAACAGATGCTCTAGATACCCTGGGGGTACCAAACTTGTACTTTGATTTTCAGGTCAAGGTCAGGTCATCACAGGTCACGAAAATATTATATCATGCGTCGGTCACGTGACACATGTTCTATGGTCCATTTAGGCCAAAGATTTCGAATTTGATGTCTTCTGTGTCATTCGAGGTCATTTTGAGTCGAATTTAGCCTAGGTCAGGTCACTTTCAGGTCAAAAAGGTCAAATTTTTAAGTTATAATTTTTCAACAGAAAAGGTGTCTATTGGATGCAGTTTGAGCTCAGGAACACGATGGTGCTATTTATATTGGCGTACGATGTCAAATACGTGGTGAAAGTTGATTTGAAAAATTAATAATTTTGAATTTTTTTACAATAATGCGTATAACTTGGCCATTTTTGAAGATATTTAGCTAAAACGTGCTAGAGTTAGTCATAATAACGCGTTCTATCACATATATTTCGTTTTTTTTTTCGAAAAGTCAAAAACTTTTTGAAAAAAAAGTAAAAATGTAAATTTTGAATTTTATTATATAAAATTTTCGAAATTTTCAAAATTTGGAAAATCCGAGATAGCAGTTTGATAGCGCAGTCTATTCTGAGTCCTCTCATGCAAAGAAATTGGATCTAGCTTAAAAACTGAGCCCTTGGGAGCGATTGCCGTGGTTCGATGTTTTGCGTCGAAATCGGCCGAACATGACGTCACTCTGACGTCATTTCCGGCCGACATATGGTAGCTACGAAGTTCAAATTTTGACACAAGGTGTCAAATCGATGCAGCCGAAGGTACTGAAAGTTTGGCGTTGATACGTCAAGCGGTTTGGAAGTTATTGCAGAAAAACGGGAGGGGGCTATAAATAGCCCCCCCAGTGGGGCGCGGGTTAATTGATAAGCAGGTATGCAGGTAAGGTGGAAAGCAACTATGTCTCTGTGCAGTTGTGAACCACCAGCTGTAGGCACGTGCCTGATGTGAGGCTTATCTGTCCCACCTGATACACCAATTACAAACGATTTAAAATGCCGTATTTTTTAACCATGCGCATATAAATTATAAGCGCTTGCAGGTCACTTTAAGTCTCGGATTGGAATTCAGGTTCCGGTTACCGGCTTTCAGCATTTCAATTCCATAGCCACACAGAACGGAACCTAGTGCAATAACTATGTGGCTGACCCTTGGCAAGATAAATGACAAAACGACGATTTACCTAGGTGTTCAAAATGAACACCTATGAAAAATGAACGTCAAAGTCAAGGTGGTTTTGTAAAATGTAACAAAACCACTCACTTCCTAAATTGCAAATATTGTCAATGTCAATATAGGTACTCGTGGGTATTGATACTGCATTAGATGCCATTCAGGTATTTTAAGCCCAAAGAAGCCGTGACGAATGTCTGTACAGTGAGTGTACATATGTGAGCTCGATGCGGCTAATTGTTACTGCCTGTTCAGCCTGTTCACTGTTCAGCCTGTTTGTCACTCACCAGGACTCGGTTCAGCAGCGTTTGCTGAGTGAACTCGGCACCGACGAATAGAGTGCCGTAGGCCAGCGCGTTGCCTAGCAACGGTCGCTGCTGGAACAATCTTCGAACGGCAAGCATCTGAGCAAGAGGAGAAACGAATACTCTTAGATGAAAGGTCCATGAATGCAAAATTAGATTTGTGCTACAGCCCTGAACAACCCATGCATGAACTCCGTTATCGTCTGCAAGATATTGTAAAACATATGAACACCGCCACATTGGCAACATATTATTCCATGCTAATTTCAGGGTTGGTTCCAGCATTTGATCTAACATGACAGTTGTGAGTTGACTTTAGTAGGTAAACAAACCTAGGTATAATTAAATTCCATCAAACACAGCTGCAAAAGATATTATCGTTGACTTAATTACCTTTACTGGAGTTGGAAACACGCAAGGATCTTCGATAAATAGTAAATACGCTTATTTTAGTGCCTAATTATCCTAATAACGATACTGGCTCGAGTATATATCAATCTTAAGTTTTAAGTTACTGTTAAAATACTAAAGTTCTGTTTCAGTCTAAGCTTTGTGCACAGCGCAAACAATTTTGTCAATAACGCGCGCCAGACCACGCCAGACTCTTTTGAATGCCAAACATGTCCACGCGGACATCAAACAAGTGGTCTTCCTAGCCACATGACGAGCTAGCTTAGGTATTTACCCAGCTTCCTAGCTCCTCGGGACTCCGAATAACTTACCCACAAACATACATAACTTTAATAGCCACTGGCATCTGCGGTTGCGACGAAAATGCCTCAGTGAATAGAAATTTTCTGCAAATGCGTTAATCTAGCCACATTGGAACGACTTTTAAAATCCAGCTCGGAATATTGGAAGTCTACAAGACGTCTACCATGAAGTCGGTAGAACCTACCGGTCACTGATTTGATAAGAAGTGAACGCTGTAGAATAGAAAAGTTGCTTCATGCTATCAAGAGAAAATAAGACCATAATCATTCGTGCCTCTTCCATTAGGAGCATGTTCCTGCGTCGCGTGGGATTCGTTATAATCAGCAATGACTATGCACACAGAAAAATATTAACACCGTTAGCGGTGTAATTGCACAGTACATATCTGAGCACTTGAGGAAAGTTAATTTAGTCCCTTCCCCGCTTAAATTACTCGCGCTTCCAAATGAACACCAGGAAGAAGGTAATAGAACACTGTTAGGAGGGTTGGGTGTTTTGCTACATGTAGTAAAACACCCAACCCTCCTAACAGTGTTCTATTACCTTCTTCCTGGTGTTCATTTGGAAGCGCGAGTAATTTAAGCGGGGAAGGGACTAAATTAACTTTCCTCAAGTGCTCAGATATGTACTGTGCAATTACACCGCTAACGGTGTCAATATTTTTCTGTGTGTGCGACAGGCACTCAGGAAGGCATTTTCTTTACTTATGCATACCACCGTTGAATGCCCCTGGGAACCATTCACCAAATTAGAAGACCAGACAAAGAACGGTTGCGATCAGTGATGATAACTTATTCATTATACATGGTCAATGACTGGATGCATCCTATCATGTGAATCTGAATAGTTTGAGCCAACGTTTGAGCCTCCCATCAAACCTCACAGCTCTTTGCAAGTGACAAAAAAGTTTCACCGAGGAACTAGAGCAAGGATCCGGCTCAACAATGCGTCGTTGAACACATGTCCGGCTTTCAAAGGCGGCATTCAACATTCAGCATTGGCTACGGAAGCAAAACTCTGGACCTGGAGAGTGTCGGGAAGATTTACCCATGCATATTCGTCCCGCTACCAGATATCTGAGTTTATCATACTGGCTAAACCGTCTGCTACCCAGCAGGCTGAACAAGCTGTTAGAGCGGCTGCAGTCTGTTGGTCCCCAATCTGAAGTGGATTGTCACTTGCCCACCTCACCTTCTTATGCACAGGACGTCAACCCCAGCCGTCTCGACCTGTCTGTCTCGGCGCTGGGCGATCTCGGGGTGTTGCAGCGATCTTGGATGTGACGGCAGGGTCAGGCCGTTGCCGGCCGTGCTGTGGGAGAGGGTGCCGCCACGTGCCCAGCGGTGGGTCCGCGCGACTGACGCCAGGTTTACACATCACACAGCAGCTGCGATCGCCCCCCTCCCCCCCTCCTGTCGAGGCCTGGCCAGCCACGCCACACGTCTGGCTTAGATCACTATCTCGAGCAAACATTGCCTCGCTGTCACCCCGAGTTGTCCAGACACGTTATTGAAAACTTCACTCTCATGAACATTGAACGCTTTTACTTACGCCAAGTTCAAATAACGTCAAGCGCCAGCCGCCAATAGGCGTTATGGAGCAGGTGATGATTCTTATGTCTGAAAATGGACCTTTGCTAATGCAGCTGAAGTGACTCGTTTTTATCTGGCTAAAAGTAGGCGTTATCAAATATAAACAAAACCGTAGCGGCGGCAGCTGCTGTACGAGTATGCACTTACTGATCTGGTTCACACCTAACGAGTAAAAACGCGGCTCAGCGAATCGTATCATCATTCAAACTGTAATCAATGTTGGCAATGTTGGCATTGTATCGTCAAAACGTCAGAAAAAAAGGACAAGTGTTTGAGCTGATCACCGCTAATCACTGATCACCGCTGGAGTGCTATTTTGTTTTTAAGCCGTAATAGGAGACCGAGGCAAGCCGCCATGGGTTGTTTGCTTTACCACTCTACCAAATTTACTGTCCTTTCCACTTTACTTGACTTCGATAATTTGACCGGTCGTTGAGCACGTTTATTTTTTATGAAAAGACGCGGGCGTTTCAAATTAGATTTAACGAGCAATATTACATTCAGCGTCAGTTACCTCCCGCGATCCCAGTTGTAAGGCCAGCTCTAAAAGCTACGTAACTAACTTTTCTTTTTATGACATTACAAGGAGCAGCACTCAGATTTCTTTTTATGGAAGCTTCTGACTTAACCAAGCGTTTCAATAATCATACTTTTGATATCGGTACAGATCACACCCCGTATGGCACAAATTATAATTCGTTGGGCTTACATTCGACGATAAAAGGATTCAACTGACACCGCAAACCGCTAACTTTTATCATAACTTACAGGACAGCAGCAATATGGAAATAAATTTCACATTTTCAAGTAAACCACCTATGTTTGCCTGACATGTTGACTGGTTGTCACCCTGGGGGCACGCGTTTGGCACGTGTGCCTGTGACTGCTCCCCTTTGGTCTGCGGTCAATACCGGGTCTCACACGGCCACCGGGCCGACGCCGGTGGCAGCAGCCCGCATTCGCTGCCTGCCACCGGTCGCCGAAGGAAGCTCAAAGATGTTCCTCCGCCTGCTGCCCGCTCTGTATATTCTGATGTTGGTGGGAGTCGGGATCTCTGTTCCGATTGAGATGCTCTCATTTGAAGAGGTGACACCAGCGGGAGGCTTGCTGAGCGATCCGGACGTGGTTCAACTCGAGCCCGGCGTTGGTGAGTGTGAGTGCCGCGCTCGCTGTCTCTCCGACATCGCCTGCCGCGGGTACGGCCACAGCGTCAGCACGTCCACCTGCCTGCTGACGGAGCTGCTGCCCACGCCGGGGAGGCTGAACACCAGCGCGGGAGACTGGCGCTGGCACGCGCGCAGAGGAGTCCGCCTTCTGGGGGAGCCGTGTGCGGCTGACCGAGACTGCTCGCTGCTGGTTCCGGGAGCTACCTGCTTCAACAGCACCTGTGGCTGCCACGGACCGGTGGAGGAGGACGGCTCCGGCGGCTGTCGGAAGGCGGGCAGCTTCATCGCCGTCGGCACAGGACGACTGACCGGTCAGCCTCTCTGGGAGCAGTCGGGGGCCTCCGTCAACGCGTGCTCCGCCGTCTGCGCCGCCAACAGTACGTGCTTGGCCTTCGACTTGTCTTCCGACGGCATCTGTACCTTCTACTCGGAGGGCATCACCTCCGACACCGGCTCTGGTCGCGACGTCCAGTCCTTCGTGTGGAGTTTTCGCCGGCCGGACGGTAAGCCTCCACAGTCGTACACCCCAGTGAACGGCACCTTCCTGAGTCTGCTTCCACCCATCAACGGCTCTGAGGCAGCCCAAGCGTGCTACGCCTACAGCAGCATCCTGATGCCGGGGGTGTCACCTGAGCAGCTGGAGCAGCGCAGTCAGTTCCTGGCCACTCAGTTGGTCGGGGCGGTCTGGATTGGACTCGAGGACATGCTGGAGCACGGAAACTACCTCAGCAGCGACGGCACACCCATCGAGACCATCGCCTGGAACAGTGCGATCGAACCCAGCTCCAGCACTTCTGGCGAGGCCTGCGCGTTGGTCAACCCGCAGGGCCGCATCCTAGATAATTCATGTTCACTCGTCCGCCCGCCTCTCTGCCAGTTTGTCGGGGAGAACCTGGCGCTCAACAAACCCAGCTGGATGAACGCCCACCATCCTCCGGCCGGGCCGGCCCGCGGAAACGACGGCAATGTGTTCACGATCGTGCACACGCCCATGCCGGTGGTTCTCCCGGTAGCCACCTGGACTGTGGACCTCGGTGGCCCGGTCCAGGTCACCAGCGTGCTGTACGCTGCGCGGCGCCGCTGCTGCGGCTGGCGCAACCATCTAACAGAGGTGCGCGCCGGCACTCACCCGACCAACTTTGACGAGCACCACTCGGCGCTCTGCGTGTGGCTCGAGCGGCCGTTCATGGTGGAGACCTACGCGCGCCAATTCCCATGTACAACACCGCTGACGGGTCGGTATGTGCGGGTGATCCGACACCGACCCGAGCGTGTCATGGACTTTGCTGATGTGTCCGTCTTCGGAAACCGACTTCAGATGCCGTAAACTGAGAGATTATGTTGACAAGGTGAATCAGTTCCGTCTCTTGGAATCAATGAAATGGTTTGAAAGTGCATGCTCCTGCTCAGGCTGGATTGATATTTCCAAACTAAGACAGAGATAGTTAGAGGTTAAGTTGTTATGCTATGCATTGTTATCGGTGTGAAACGTGTGAAAAATAAATGCGTTCGTGATTTTTCTTGTTTTGAGTCATATTTTCTATGACAATGACGGCAAGCGGCATTTGAAAGAGCGTCAACTTTGCGAAGAATTTGGTCCAGCCACTTTGTATGTCAGTCGGGTCAAATATGAGGTTACAAGAGGTCATGGATGGTCGAATTTCCCCGATTTTAACATTTTTAACTGATAGAAGCATACCTTGCGAACGAATAGAGCTATATCACCGCAGAAAAGGGCGTTTTGCATTTTTAAAGTAGTTTGTAAAGAGTATTTTGCAGTTTTTTAATTGTTTTCTTACACAAAACTTGCAGGTGCGACAGCGACATTATTTCTACCGGTATCGGTAACTCTCTTTAAAACTTGTTGAATGGACTATATACCTTAAAGTTCCAACTTAAAAACTTAACCTTAATTCAAGGTCATGACCTGATCGAAAAAAGTTATGCTGTTATGTATAGTCACTTTTCGGATTATTCTCTGGGATAATAATATATAACTCACAAGTCCATATATTTCGGATGATGTTGCTCACCCTTGGTCACTGGACAAAATAAAAACAATTACATATTTGAAAAACCACACACCAAAATAAAAAAGTTATGCTGCATAGTGCATAGGCGTCGCTCGGTGTAGATG